TTGCAATCTCCTGCTGGCTTCCCCATTGACTTTGCTTGTTGGAAGCCAGCAGTGAAGGTTGCAAATGGCAATCATATGACCGCGGGTTGCTGAGACATCGTAATTGCAAGCCAGTTGCCAAGCGCCTGAATTGCGATCATGTGATTGTGGGAATGCTGCAACAGCCGCAACTACGAGGACCTGTCGTAAATCCTCCTTGTTCAGGGCCATCATAACTTTGAACAGTTGCTGAATGAGTGGTCGTTCAATGAGGACTACCTCTAAAAACAATTAACATCCTTACTCTCCAGCCATCCCTTTAATGTTTTCCCTCTTCTAACCAGTTGGTAACAATCTCTTGGGGCCCAGAGCAAGATTCTTGCAAGGGTGTGTGTGTGTACCACAACCTAGGTCTCTGCTTTAGTAAATATGCCAATATCTCAGCCCAGACAGGTTTTAAGGTAAGGAACTAAAGGAGTGCAGTGCAGTGGCTGCAAATATTTCTTTGCCAGGGCCAGGGTGCTGGTTGCTAAGCAAAGCTGCAAGTAAGCTTTAGCCACACCTGAGCAGACTTTTGAGAACGTTCCTATTCTATAAGCTTCTTTGTTATAATCTGGAATTAATGAAAAGTCCAGGAAGAATTATTCAGCTAAAAGGGCTGTCCTTTTAAAAATCTTTATGTTCTGTAGGCTGAACCACAAATTTGTTTTTCTCTTAGAGGCAGAATCATCATTTCAGCAAAGCCCTATTACAGTATCTGGATCCCCCACAATCTCTTTGTGCACCATTTTAAAAGTATCAATGAACAAGTCCATCCACTCCTGCCGCTCATGTCCAGTGGCAAACTTGGCTTTTTCGGCGGTATAGGCCAAGGTGGCCACCAGCTGGGTATACATGCTGGGGTCCTGGATCTCCCTCGTGGAGTTCAGGAACTGGGCGATCTTAGGTTTGGTGCTGGGCAAAGTTATCTCGACCTCCACAGGGCGGAAAGTAACTGGGTACCTCCCATCTGCAAGTGAGTGTCAAAAGAATATTTTCAGGGCTGTGCTCTGATTTCAGATCCTACTGGTTTTATACATCGATGCTGGTGCTGAATTGCAGGCTTGAATGAATTTAAATATGGTAGTTCCTGGACAATACCTTCCCCGGGGTCCCTATGTTGTAGTCTTGTCAGGAGCAGAAAAAGGCCCTTTTATATCTTCCAACCCATTTTAAAATATCTTTAGTGCTTTTAAAACTTCATAATGTTTGTTCTGCTGCTAGCTTTAATGTGATCTTATGTGCTGCATTCATTATTGCTGTCATTTTTGCCTGCTGTTGCTTTGTTACTCCTTCCTTCCTTCCTTCCTTCCTTCCT